ACTAACGTAACTAACTAACTACTAACTACTACTACTACTACTATATATATATATATATATATATATATATATATATACTATACTACTATACTACTACTATACTACTACTACTACTACTACTACTACTCTCTCTCTCTCTCTCTCTCTCTCTCTCTCTCTCTCTCTCTCTCTCTCTCTCTCTCTCTCTCCATCTGCCCACCTCGCCCCTGCGTCACCCTCCCCCTCCCCCTCCCCCTCCCCCTCCCTTCCCCCCATAAAAAAACAAACAGCAAAAAGTACACAACAAAACGAGTATGCCTGTGCATCCCATGAGCTGCTTGCTACAACCACACAACTAGCAAAACAAAACAAACATGCCTGTGCATCCCATGAGCTGAATGAGTATCTGTGAACTCGACTTATTTAATTGCAGCCCTTGCGATAGAATCAAGAGAATAAAATGATGTAAAGAAATAAATGAATTCAAAACCAGGAACACACCTTCCCCTCAAATAGTGAGGCATCATACAGCCTTTCCAAACAAAGATTGTACACTTTGTACTTTCCCTGCAAGTAGATATGGCCATAGAGAATGATAAACCACATAAAACAACAATGAACATGTACATTATATCAAATTGTGCTACTGCATGTTTCCTTTTGGTGCGCTGAAGACAATAAAGAGGTTGATGTGAGCTGCTGAAAATCTAGGTGCCGTCATCGTTGACATAATTCACAGATGCAGCCTAGAAATATTAATAGTTGAACAAGATCTAAAAATGTTTACAGGCAGGCTTCAGAACCCAAAACAATAAAATAATCAACAAATCCAAATATAATATTGTAATATACATTTAAGACATCACGAATGAAACAATATATTATAAGCAACATCCTTGAACATAATTAGTTGGAGACATACCTAAAAAGGAAAAATTCAACTTAGAGATTCTTTTAGGTCAGTTAAACAGTAAAATAAAGTTATCTTCCCTCTTAATAAATACATGCACACTAATAAGTTTCTCTCAAGTAAGCATCAGACGGCTATTAAAATAAAATGTAACAGTGCTCACATAAAATATGCCTCGATGATAAGATCATTTACAAACTAAAACCATGCTATGACTCCATGCTGTGACTCCGAAACACCATGCTGCAATAGTGAATTCTTACCTTGCTCATATAATTCGAATTGTTAAAATCTTCAACAATGTTGTTAAAAATTCACTGCCAATCAGGTCATATTTATAATTTTCTGCGACAACTATACGCAGTGCTACACAGAAAATCCAACTTTTGCCTTGTGTTATGTAGCGCTATGTGTCAACATATAGACTTGTGTCAATGTGCCATAACAAGGATCCAACATGTGATCCAAATGTGTTTTGAATTGTTAGGGTCCTACATGAAGTGTCCACACCTCTGGCTACACATGTCCCACATTTAGACACATGGTATCATTCTTCTAAATTACAGACAGAATGTCACTTTGCACGACTTAAACACAAATATTTTCATGCAAAATAGTGGTGCTTTAGGTGTGCCACACAAATGAGGGTAAAAAGTGTAAAACCAAGTTGCCAGTGATACCCTCATGGAATATGACAAAATGAGCTCTGCTGATATTGCAGCAGCATTCAGACAAGTAATTAGAGTTAGATAAAAAAAAATGAGAAACATTGTCATATTTCTCTATTATCTATTTATTTATGGTGCAAAGAACTTTAAAGCAAATCCCTTGACTCATATTTCAAGATTTACTGCTATGCTAAAATGATTAGCAATGTAGTAAAAGTGCAATCAAGGTAAGATGTATGCTGGCTCTGCTTAAAAGACCATCCATGGAAATCCTGTATGCTAGGAAGAATGGAAAGGAATGAATGTAACTTACCTTGTGGTGAGTTTCAAAAAACTTAATAACTTCTTCCATGTGGTTTCTATAGAATCCCTGCAAGAAAGGACTTGTTACACTGGTATGCAACTACCTCATTATGAACAAAGAAATAAGAGAAGCATCTCAAAAGAAAATTTGCATGTTTTTGGCTTTCAAGAGAATATTATTCCTAAACTCCGAGTACCTCGACATATCCAAGAATACCAGAACTCAAATCCCCGGCTGGGAAACCCATAGCAATAACGTTCTCTGTAATATACGTCATATCCAAATCAAATCCATCTTCCTGAACAATAACAATGTGAGACATTAATCACATAAATAACAATGCAAAAGCAGAACATTAAAAATGTAATTGAGGCAAGATACTAAAATATTCGAAAGAGTTTAATCTAGAACTCTAACCCAGTGATAACTTCTAAAACAGAAAATAAAGATAGGACTGGAGAAATGATTCAGAAAGGCTTGCACACAACACCAAAGTTCCAAAATTGGCTGCTACTTGACCAATGGAGTAAATTTTAACAAAAACTAATCACAACATATCTCCAATGTAGAAGCCAATATTTTTACTAGCATCAACTGACAATGCAGTGATTAACAATCATATTTCTCCATGGCTCAGGGATAGCGAACACTGGCATGCAGTACAGGAAATGCGGCAAACCCATGGTTCAATAATACAGGGAACCTTATCTCTATGGCTTAGACAGGCCTAAAGCCTTAACTCTGAGTTTCTAGAATACAAAGAGCATTGCACGAAATGCAGCACAACAAAAGTAGTTACAGATTAGATGGAAGTAGAGAAATAAGACCAAAAAAGGTCCATAGGAGAGGAACAAGAGCCAATAGAATCACATTTGAAAAGCCAAGCATATTGTATGAGATTCCATTTACATAATATGCAATCCACTGCTGAATCATTGATACAAAAATCCACCAATTCTTAAGAGTTGTAAGGATTCTATACTTTGAGAAACAATACAAAAATCTACCAATTCTTAACAGTTTTAAGGATTCTTTACTTTGAGATACAATCAAGAATGCAACACATATTACCATGCATAATCCATTTGACCCACCGAAGAAATAGGGTAACAGTTAATAAACATTTACCGATAGTACTATTAACAAATATTTTTTATTTTTGAACTTGTTACAAAGATTAGAGAGGTCCATAAGCATGGATTCTTCTGTCCGTTAGCTTGGTAATCACCCTATTCTTTTGTCCATTAGCTTGGAAATCGCCGTATGACATTCTACTCCTATTCAAAACCATGTGCAAGACATATTCTAGGACATGAAAAGCAAATGGAGAAATAGGGTTCAAATTGTCCATTGGCAAAGAAGAAGGGTATGAATGTAACTCATCAAGTGGGGCGCCATGTATATATGATTTTGACAATTATCACTGAGGGTCAATCCCAATATCAGAAGTCAAAACCTTATTATATGTAACTCAGACTATAAAGTGAGGTCTTTCACATAAGGTAATGAAAAATATATCCTAAGGGAACTCCCAAAATTGACAAACTTAATATAGCAGCTAGGATTCACCTTAGAATGCCAATATGAAACCAATATTTGACATTTCATATGCTATGGTTTAGCTAGGTAAATGATAATTAGCATGGTCTAAAGGCATCAAATCATGGGAGGTTTGACCTATATTATTTAATTCGCATCAAAGTACTAGAAAATTTTAATGGTCAATGACATCTGCAATGAGGAGATTCCAGATGGATTTAATAAGTTGCAAAGCATATACGTGTAAGTGTTACACATCATACCAATCTCTAAGGATGTGGGCTTGGGACGATATCAGCACCTTATCACCAATGCCATCAGGACCAAACCAGAGACCAAACCGGTGAGGGCACCGGTCTAGTCAGATTGGATGGGCAGAACCGGTTCACCGGTAAGAGAAGTCACATAATTTAAAAAAAACTGCAAAAAGGAATGAAACATAGAGAAGAACATGACACAATCCAAGAGTACGAAAGTAAAAAAAATTAAGAAACTTACTAGGAACAAAAATAAAATGCATAAAAAAGACTAGCATAGTAGCTTTGAGTGTTAATAGAACAAAAAAAGCACCAAAAAAGTCAATTAAAAATAGAATAAACCAAAAATCTGAAACTACAAAATCCGAAAACTGAAACTAAAGTAACATCTATCCAGTATAAACATTTTCCATACACCATAGTTTCATTGAAGTGTTAGAAAACCACAAAACCGGAAATGAAAATAAAAAATAAAAATAAAAAAAAAGAAAACCTAATATCCGTTTTTCAAAAATGCAATATAAGGTTCCTAAAAAGCAAATATACAACAACAAACTTAATAAAAATGTGAAGCAATCATTAAATAGAACAAATGAAACAATATCTTGCATTGATTGGAGAAAAAATAAAATTCATGTACAGAAAAAACCCTCAAAACTCCAAAGCATTTTCTATCTTCTAAATATAAAATAAAAAACAAGAAAATAGTGATAATAGACTTACATGGGGCTTCAAAATCGGGCAAAATGAAGGACAAAACACAAGACAATAGTCATAATAAACTTACTTGGGGCTTCAAATTGGGCAGAATGATGGCTGGAATCCTCCCTGAAACTCGCTGGAAAATAGGGCTAGGGTTGGGGTGTGGGGTGTTTTCGAGGAGGAAAGAGAGAGATGAAAAAAATTACCAAATGGTTCTTTCTCTCTCAAAAAAAGCGTTTTAGAGCCCCATATCCCACCCATTTTAGTCAAATGATCAAAATGCACCTAAAAGACTAAAAAAGACCAAAAAAAACCACCCATGAGGCAGAAAATGACCAAAAATAAGGGTGAAAATGTTAACTTTTAACATCATTGAGACAGGCCGGATTGGTCCTGAACCCATGGACGAGCCGGTCCACCAATTCATGAGCGGTTCAGTGGACATTCAAGTCCATGCCCACCAATCCACCGGTTTTCATCCGGTCTAGCTGGTCAGTCTGGTCTGGTTCAAATACCATTGCTTTTCAACATTGTACACAAGCTTTAGGACTGACACGAAACCAAAAAGAGAATTGAACGTGTCAAACGGAGGTCAATATTTCAATTGCTTCTCTTCAAACAAAGTGTAGATTTGCCTGAAACTTGATTCCAGGCATCTTAAACACAAAACGAATTATGAGAAATTTTTAAATGAACTTGCAGCAAGCATTTCCCTTTCAATTGAGATAATTGTCAACTTTCATGTAAACTTATTATCATTTTGCGATGTGATAGAAATAGCTAAGAATCACAAATGCTCACCAAAAAGTCATAGTGGCTAGAATTTTCAAAGCAACCTAAAAAATAGTGCTTTCAAATTCCGCCATTGCCAGTCCCAAGCCCAGATGAGAAAGGAGGGTTGTTTTAAGTTGGCGGTCAGAAGAAAACTTTTGCCACATCCGTATCATGAATCTTGATCCCACGTTATATGCTCATGCTAAGGCTTTCTCTATAAGCGATGTGCTGTACCGGCACACACATGCAGTGAGAATTGAGCAAGGGTTAACAACGGCGATCCCTAGAAGCGACACACTGCAACGGTGGCTAGTTGTAGTGATAAGTAAGCAAGAGTTCTTGCGTCTTTCTAGATGAGCGCAGGTAAAGCAACTAGGCTGATAGAACAAGATTCGTCTGGCCATATGAAATGGAGGAACTCTATCAGGTAAGTGAATGGAATTGGATACAATGAGATGAAAGAGAGTTAACATAGCTTGTTTCCAAAAAACTAAGTGGATAAGGGCAAAAGCTAAAGAAATTAAAGGATATAAACTTTAGTAAAAATGGTACAGGTATAATGATAGACAAAGATTTAAAAACAAAGTAGCAAATGAGAGTAGGTAATAGGCTCTTGTTAATTAAACTTATGTTAAGAGAGAAGATAATTATGTAATTAGTGCTTATGCACTAGAGGTAAGGTTAGATGATAGAAATAAAAGAAAATTTTGGGAGGACATGGATAGACTAGCCCAAGGAATATTAAAAGGGGAGAGGATATCTAAGGGAGGAGACTTAAATGGTCATGCAAGAAAAAAGAGTAGAGGATATGACAGAGTACATAGAGGATGTACATTTGGGTAAAGAAATGAGATGGGTGATGATATTCTTAATTTTGCTATGGCTTACGATCTAACAATAGCAAATACGTACTTTAAAAAGCAATATGAACATTTAATAACTTGCAAAAGCATATCATATAAAAGCCAGACTTTTTTCTAATCAAGGAAACGAGAAGATCATCATCGAAAGACGGTAAACTTATTCCAGGAGAGAGTTTGACCATGCAACATAGGCACATGGTTATGGATGTTTGCATTAAGAGATGGAAGAAATGGAGTGGCATTAATGGGTATCCAAGAACTAGGTGGTAGAATTTAAAAAGTGAAAAATAGACTTATTTAAGAATAAATCGATGAAGGAAGGAAAATAAAATTCTAAGGATGAAGTTAGTGTTACGTAGAATGAGATGAGATGGCTATTATATCAAGAAAGTGGCAACAGAAGCGTTAGGAGAACCTCTAGGGAAAAAACTTTCAAGTAAGAAAACTTGGTGGTGGAATGTTGAAGTTCAAAAAGCCATTAGCACAAAACAATCATGTTACAAATCTTGCATACGAATAGAAATGACCAAAATTTAGAAAAAGATAGAAATTCCAAGAGGAACATTAAGAAAATAATAAGGCTAAGTTGAACGCATAAACAATAAATTGGGGCAAAAAGCAGGTGAAAAAGATGACTTCAAACTAGCAAAATGAGAGGGGATGCTTGAGTAACAACTAAGACATGAAACGAGGGTATCAGAAAATCAATTCGGATTTATGCCATGGAAGGGAACCCTTAAGGCTATTTTTCTACTTACGCATTTGATTGAGAAGTTTATAGAGAAGAGAAAAGACCTCCACATGGTATTTATTGATTTAGAGAAAGCATACGACAGGGGGAGAGAGAATTTGGTGCACTTTGGAAAAGAAAGGAGTCTCAAGAGGATATATTGATATGGTTAGTAACATGTACGAGGGTGTATTAACTAATATGAAGAAAACTAGTGGAGAGACAATTGAGTTTTCAGTGACAGTTGTCCTACATCAGGGTCAGCATTGAGCCCATATCTCTTTGCTTGGTTATGGACAAGTTAACTAGGCATCTACAAGATGAGGTCACGTGGTGTATGTTATCTGCAGATGACATTATTTTAATTGATGAGACTAGAACTCTAGTGGGATGCTTTAGTTTATATTAGGTTGAGGCCCTAAAATCAAACTAAGGCGCACCTCAAAAATTAACTAGAAGTTGTTTTGATGTAGAAAACCCTCAAATCCGATCATTGCAACCTCGAGATACATGGATGTAAAAAATTAAAAAAATGGACTTCAAGTCATGGAAATAGTGCATCTTGTAATGCATTATCTAAACCACCAATTTTAAATAGTTTCAAATGTTCATAGATCTTATTGATCTACACTATATTTGTAACGTTAAATTTTATAGCAAGACATGGAAATCAATTTTCAATATTGAAACGACATCTTTCGACACTGAAGATAAGACTTTTGGGCCCCAGCCTTATACAAACCAGACCGTTTTAAAAGTTAGCTAGACGAAAGCAGAATATGTGGAATGTAATTTTAGTAAATAGTAATAATAGGAGCAATAAAAAGGAATTAGTTAAGATTGATGGTCAAGAAGTACTTAAAAGAAATTATTTTTGATATATTTGGTTGATAGGAGCGATTGAGGAAGATGTCGCTCATTGAACTAGAGCTGGGTGGGCGAAGTGGAGATGTGCTTTCGGAGTTTTATGTGATTATCGCATACCAATGAAACTAACGAAGTTTTATAGGACGGTTGTAAGACCAGCCATGCTTTACAGAATAGAATGTTGGGCAGTCAATAAACCATAGAATGAGTGTAGCTAAGATGAGGATGTTGAGATGGATAAGTGGCAAGACAAGGAAAGATAGAATTCAGAATGTATGCATTCAAAGGAACTTAGAGGTAGCTCCAATAGGCAATAACATACGGGAAAGTAGACGTAGGTAGTCAGGGCATGTGCATGGTCGACCTAGAACAACTCCAATTAGGAGGGGTGATTTGGTTCACATAGAAGGTTCTTAAAAGGCAAGGAAAAGTCCAAAAGAACATAAATGGTAGTGAAAAAAACTTGATAAATTTGGGTGGACTGAGGGTATGGACCTTGATTGAGAAAATGACGAGATGGAATTCATGTCGTCGACGAAGTAGTTGGCATGGAGCATGGATGACAATGCTGATGATGATAACAAGTGTTGCTTTCTAGTCATTGATTTGTTCTTTAGAGTAAGATTAATATGAGATTCGAGGGATTTGATTAACTCCTTGAAAAAGAAGTTCAAAAGAGGAAGCTTTCAAGACTGAAGATATCAATATTACTTGTGAAAGATTGTATGAATCGGCATAGCATATAGAGGTCCACCAGATTCAGAAATTTAAGCATTTTTTTAATTTCATAATCACCACAAATATATTGCGAAGATCTTCCACACAACAGAAGAACAAAATTGCATGATTGAGAAAAAGGAAGGCCTTTCCACAAGTGTCAAATAACAACACTAGTATAGAAGACCCAAAGAAACCTGAAAACAAACATCCCATGTAAACCTCATATGCTATCTGTACCATTCTCTAAAAGGTATAAACTTAGCCCTCTTAAACTCTTCTTGAAGACCCAAATTTAACTCTCTCAAACATGTTTTTTCATTCTAAAACAATTATTTCTTTCCCTTTACAGATCTCCTTTTTCTAAAATATGGTTTCTATTAGTTTATCCTGTCGAAAACCTCATCTTGGGCTGACTTCTACAACAAAAGAATGATAAGTGAAGAACTTGCCTATTTTATAATCCTCTGCTTTTTCTCAACAACTTCTTTAGAAGCCCAAAAGAGCTCCTAGTGACTCCTCTCAAGACAAATTGAATGAAATATCCCGAAAACCATTGTCAACCGTTCTCAAAATAATTTTTGTTTCTTCATAAATGTTTTAATAAACAAACTTTTGAGATTCCATTAATCCATTTTAAAAGTCTAAAACTTTTGGGTAATAATCTTCTCAAGCCCTTGCTGGGGTATGAATGGTTGTCAAGGCTTTCTAGTCTAGGGAGGGGCTAGATGAGAAACTAAAGGTTTGCTACACATAGGAGCAGGTGATCATCCATCACACTTAAGATTTATAAATATCATGTAAAAAAATATTTTTCATATTTAGCAAAGATTTTCATGCTAGTTGAAATGTGTGTCCAATGCAAAAAAGAAGACAGCTCATTACGTCTTGGTCCAAAAAACATCAGCAATTGGGGAAGGTACACTTAATTTGTTTAAAATGGTTTATGCATCATTTCTAGGGTAATTAAAGGCCTTTGCAGGGATGAGATGCCACCAATGGAGTTCACAGATGTTGTCATGTTTCTATGTCATCATTTGAAACCAAAAGAAAATTATAAATGACGATTGGAATGCAAAAAGTTCACCAAGATCAACCAAGAGGGATGTTGATCTCAGAATGCTGCTAAAGCCAAGGGCTACCAAGGGAAATTTGCTATCCAAAGCAGCTAACAATGTTCAAAAAGGGGGAGGCAGCCACCTAGGTGGGTGCCCAGATACCTGGGGAGCCCTTTTCTTGTGGGCACCAAGAAGAGGCAGAGGTTTTTTTATGTGATGTATTTATGTATGAGAGAGTATATTAGACCTGAGAGAGAGAGAGTTATTTGAATTGAGAGAGAGAGACAGCGTTATGACATGCGGAAAGGATGACATAATAAAAGCAAAACTGATGTTTTCTTGGGACCAAAAGGGGAGAAAAAAATACAGCATCGATTGATGAGTAGATTAGGTGGCAATGCAAGAGTGCTCCATGTGTAAAGTGAACGGGTGGTAAAAGTCAAAAAGTTAAAAATGGTGAAAAAGAAAAGTGATAATGACTATAAATTATGATCAAGAAAAGGAGAGCATTCGACGTGTAGGTTGCTTGGAAGCAGCGCCTTAAATATTTTGGCTTGTTGGAATTAAACCATTGGCTGGTAGTCCCACATGAACCCACACATTAATAGAAAGCAATATCACATGCTTGTCAAAAGAAAATAAAAAGTAGTAGCACGTGTGTAAATCCATAAAGCCATGAGAGAGAATACTTGAAAAGCGTGGTACTAAGCAGGCACCCAGACCCCTCTAGGTGCCTCCCATGGGCGCTGGGTGCCTAGGCGGACGCCTTGGGCATTACCGCCTACGTTCACCTGAACCACCACACCTAGGCTGTGCCAAGGTGGATCGTCGGCCAAGTGGCTGACATTTTCATCACTGGTAGCTAATGGACGCAGAACAAAAAACTGCTCCCTCTGAGGAATGTAAATACAGCCATTGAAGGAAGTGTGAAAGGAAAGTTGTTTGAGCATTAATAACCTCCTATCCACCCAAGGGTGTCATCCTATGAGGACTAGCCATCCTTTTGATCGTATGAAGCTTTATCTTGAATGTAACTGAAGGACCTTCCCAGGAAAAGGTTACGCATATCCAAGCATTGGGATAAGATCAAAGCAATAAACTAGCAAGGAAGGAGTTCTGAGACATCAAAAAGTCTTTACCATTCCTGGCTGGAACGTGACACATTCAGTGATGTTTGGGTCTAATTTTGAAATAGGGACCGTGTAATATCATGGGAACATAAGGCCACTGAAAGGTAGCAACAAGGTTATAGCCAAGTATATACAGTTTGAAAAAAAATTCACTTTATTTAATTTATACCCGTTAGACCACACACAAGCGCCACTCACAACGTCAAAAAAAAAAGGCATAAAACAAATCCCCAATACAATCAAGGATCCTCACTTCTATGGCTATTGTTTCCAAATGTGGACACCCAACGCCTAGGCGGTCCAGATAGCCAGACCACCTCACCAAGGCCTAGACAGCCGAATTAGGTGGCCTGCCACTAGGCGACCGCCTAGGCGTCAGGGAACCCGCTTAGGCGGGCATCCAATGTCCTGCCCAGGGGAATTTTGAGGTCTTTTTTCAATATAAAAGGGGATATGAAACCTAAACCCCATTAGAGCCTATTTTAAAAAGAGAAAAACCCTCAAAAACTAGTTTTTTATGATTGTGGTAGGATCGAAGGGTTTTTGTGATTGCCATAATTAACAATTGTAAATTTGTAATTCAAAATCAATTTGCAGCCAATTGGTGGAGCCAACATGGGTGTAGTGCTCCACATTTGCAAACGTTGGCCATTCGGACCTTGGATAGTTGTAAATCAACAGAGATTTGCACTAGAGGTTGTTTCATGGAAGGACCTTGGATAGTTATAAATAAATTAACAGAGATTTCTACCGGAGGTTGTTTCATGGAAGGACATTGGATAGTAATAAATCAACAGAGATTTGCACCAGAGGGACAAAATCAGTAACCAGAATATCCACCTTCAGCATAGGTGGCAGCCCGAACAAATAGATAAACAAGGTTCTTATTTCAATAAATACAAGGATCACATGCATAGGCAGCAGAAGTGACCTATAAATGGAACAGGAAAAATTTTCTCCCATAAGATTATATCATTCTATTGATCGCATCTATGTTCTAAATTCTGAAACAAAAACCAAAACAAGAATATAGCCATTTCTCCAAACTAATGGAAGCAGCCACAAAAATATATTGAAAGAATACCACATCACCAACCTGGTATCTCCGCTTATTCTGTGACACAATGTGGCGTGCCTTGACCTGCACAGCCTTGACAGCATTTCTAGAGGAATCAACCAATCCCTTTGTGATGGATCCAAAAACACCAGATTGTGTCATTGTTGGAGTTGTTGCTGAAGTGCCCTCAGAACCCTCATCTGCTGCAAAAGCTTTGGGTGATGTGCGCAGTCCAAAACCGCTCGTAAACCGACTGAAAGTCAACTTCCCAGAATTATTAGATTGTGTTTCATCTCCCAGCACGGGCTGCGTTATCCTGAGACTTCTAGCCCACGATGATATAGCAGACGCTGATAACTTTGATGGGTTTTCTTTCGCATTGCTATCTTCACTGGATGCAGAAGCATGTGTGTTATCAGGAGTTGGAGTAATTGATGGTGACGATGACGATTCTGAATAGGATGATACTGTATCCATTGAAGCTCCCTGTTTTCCTAAATAAAAAGTACATCAAAAGCCCCCATTCAACAGGTAAGCAGGTTGTGCGTGATTACTTACAAATGCAAGAAGAAAGTATCAGACGAAAAGCATAAGCAACAAAGACATCATTAGGATAAAGAAACAGACGTGTACTCAGGGATTTAAATTAAAAAAATTCACAGAGCAGAAAATAAAAAGGAAAAGGAATATCCCTCAGTAAACGTTTAGGAAAACACACAGAATTTATCTGTGTAAAACTTCATGAAGTTGTTCTCAGCTTGGAGTGAGTTTTGGTTATTCAAAATCCATAATAGATGACAAAATACAAGGATCTAACACAAAAGGCGATCACTTAATTGAATTGTGAGGGATCCGCAGATTCTTCAGAGAGTGATTTGAGAAGATATTCTAATTGGTATGCAATGTCAAACGAAATTGTTATGAAATATGCCTGTGCAGACGAACAAGAAGAGATCTGAATACAAAGACCAATGATCGTACATACAAAAAGTTTCGCACCTGATTTTCTTTGGGCGATTGTTCGCGCTGCGCCCTCCAAGATTGGTTCCGAATGGGGGCAAAATGCCTTTAGAAAAGCATCGCCAGCGCCGTGTTAACAGGGAGATTTGGAGAGACCCATATTCGCAACAATTTACATTTTACTCGATGCAATTTTACATTTAGGACGCGGTTAGCATGCGGCCAGCCTTCATTTCTACTGGCCCGCATGTCGTAGAAATGCAGGCTTGACAATAAATATATTTTTAAATATAATTTGAACCTAATTTATAGAGAATATATAATCTCTAAGATCATGAATATAAAAATAAATAAAGAAAAATAAAAAAAAAATAAAAAAAAAATAGAAATGATATTATATAAAAAAACATTTGGCCCTTGAGTTACAATTGGTTTTAAATAGACCACCTATTTACATACATCATTGCATAATGCAGTCCATCCCAAATGAAAGAAGTGTTCTTACATTTAAGTGCAGCAAAAGATTATAAAGTGCCATATTGTAAAAACCTTCATTATAAGCAGTATTCCGTGTTAGTATTAGTACTAACCAATGCACCTTCTTCCCCACTGAATTACCCAAAAAAACTAACCAATGCACCTTAGATACCATCCTAGATAGAGCAAAGGGGATAAAATTTTAACAGTGATTGTGACCTCGTATATAATATACATACCTTATAGTATAGGAAAAAGTTTATATAGAATTCAGGCTCTAAACAATTAAATTAGAGCCAACCTCAAAAAGTTCACTAGAAGAGGTTGTTTTGATGCCTAAATATTCTCAAATTGATCATCTCGACATCAAGATGGATGGACATGAAAAAAAATGAATTTCAAGTTTTGGAAATGGTACATCTTATAGCGCATTTTTGGACCGTCAATTGTCATGATTTTCAAGTTTTCATAGATTTGCTATATCTACACTATTTTTTAAGCTTTAAATTTTATAATTAATGATGAAAATATATTTTAAGACTATCACAAAAAATTCCTGTACTGAAACCATATTTTTTGACAATATTTTAAGGTGGGCTTTAATTTGATTGTTTAGAGCCTCGGCTCTATACAAACCACAACCTATAGTACATATTCTCAAAATAGAAAAAATAAATGTATTTTTTCATGTGTGTATGAGAAACTAATGTCCTAAAACTGAATAGAAGATCTTTAAAATTCATAAGAAATTTACATATAAATCCCATTTAATTTTTTATATTATATTCCATATTTTACAATCCAGTCCTATTTTTTAGAATGTAAAGTATATTTTTATATTATTATTTTTTAAATATAGAAAAATTTTATATAGAGTCGAGGCTCTAAACAATCAAATTAGAGCCCGCCTCAAAAATTTCACTAGAAGAGGTTGTTTTAATGTCCATATATCTTCGAATTGATGATCTCAACATCAAGGTGCATGGACAGAAGAAAGAAACAAATGGATTTCAAGTTTTGGAAATAGTGCATCATGTAACGCATTTTTTTATCATGAATTTTCAATATTTTCAAACTTTCATAGATATGCTTGATTTACACTATTTTTGAAGCTTTAAATTTTATAATTACAATATGCAAATATATTTTAAGGCTATCACAAAGATTTTCAGTTTTTTAAACCACATTTCTTGACACTATTTGAAGTTGCGCTTTACTTTGATTGTTTAGCGCCTCAACTCTATACAAACTACACCCTTTAAATATATTTGGTTAAGTTCAAATTTGGTATGTCCATAGTTCACACAATTTATATTTCATATTTTACAATCTAGTCTTATTTTTAAGCTCAAATTTGGTATGTCCATAGTTCACACAATTATATTTATACTTTGCAATCAGTTCTTATTTTTTAAAGGGTAAAGTATATTTTAGGATAGAGCCGAGGCTCTAAACAATCAAAGTAAAGTGCACCTTCAAATAGTGTCGAGAAATGTAGTTTCAATACTGGAAATCTTTGTAATAGCCTTAAAATAGACTTTCATGCTTAATCATAAAATTTAAAGCTTCAAAAATATTGTGGATCGAGCAGATCTATGAAAATCTTGAAAATTGACGGTTAAAAAATGCTCTACAAGATGCCCTATTTCCAAAACTTCAAATCCATTTTTTTTCTCATGTCCAAGCATCTTGATGTCGAGGTGATCAATTTGAGGATATTTGGGTACCAAAACAACCTCTTCTAGTGAAATTTTTGGGGTGGGCTCCAATTTGATGCTTTAGAGCCACAACTGTATATAAATTGTTTCCTATATTTTAATTTTATATCTTTTTAAATATATCCGGTTAAGCTCAAATTTAGTATGTCCATAGTTTCCACCATTATACACCAATAAAATATTTAAAAATAATAATAAATAAAATAACCAAACCACTTATATGGTAGTTTGGTCATTTTATTTATTCTAAATTATTTTTAAGTAATTTTTCTAGATACAAGATGGCAAGAATTATGATGATACCAACTTTTATCTTAATCTAATAAATATAAAAAGATATATTTTTATTAAAAGGTACTTTATATTTCAAAAAATAGAGTTTATTGTAAAATATAAAATATATAAGACGTTTTTAAATATCAAAATAAAATGTGATTATTCATAAATTTCTCAAATTCAAATTTTATTTTTTGAACATGATAATTCTAATATTGATATTCAGTTTTACATCCAAAAAATAATCCTTGGTAGGTCTTTTATTTGAGGGAGCAAGTGTACACTATGCTCCTATAGGAGCACGCTGCATGCACTCGTGGGCGAGGATAATTAGTTTAGTAGTCAAAGGAGGAAGGGATGGTAACATGCCAATTGGCTTGGAACTACCCTAGAGAGCCGAAATTCAACCCTCATTTTTCGTCTTTGGGATGGGGGCAGGCCTGTAATCAAGCCCTATTGCTAAGGTGGGCCAAGCTTGAGCTTACCTAATTTTGATCTCTATCTTTTAAAATGAGTATTAAAGCATCTCCCAATAATATGATAAGATCGCATAAGATGTATCATTTTAATCCATATAACACCGTAACCTTGTAAAAAATATCCCGCAATATCCCAAGGAACAAGAGATGGAGAGAGAAAAGTATTGACATGTAAAACAAATTTAAGTATATTTGCCTATTGGGTGATGTTTTGAAAATTTCTTTAACAAAAATGTTTAAACAAGGTTGACACCTCAAAATGTAGAATTAAGGTACAAATCTAAAATATTTTGTTGTTTGATGTTGGAAAACATCTAATTGGCCATCTCAATATCGAGATATACAGATTTGGAGAAAAAAAGGGATCTCAATTCCTTAAAATTGCATATCTTGCAACACATTATTCGAACCGTCCATATTCAAGATTTTCATGTGTTTATAGATCTACTTTATTTGAATCTTTTTGAAGTTTAAAATTTTATAATTATTGATAAAAATATATTCCCGCATCATCCTAAAAATATTTGACACCAAAATTGTATCCAATGATAAATTTCGTAGTTGACCTTAATTTGGTTGTCTAAGGTTGCAACCTTGTACAAACCGCACCCTTTCTTTAGTTCTTGTCAATATATAAAGATGGACATACACAAACATATTAGAGTTCAGAGAGAGAGAGAGAGAACTATTAAATATAAAAAAAAATCAAATTACGTACATAGAAATTAGCAAAAGAAGTATATCATCATAGGAATAAGATATATATTAGAGGCTATGTATATCATCATAGGAATAAGATCTATATTAGAGGATATTGTTAGGAAATAAATACCGATATTTAAGAAATACTGCACCATCAAGGATAGGGCCACCCATAGACAAGAGGGTTGGCGAAGGCTAGGTTTTAGTATTTTTGGTTTTGTAAAATTATTTGTATGCATTCCAAAATAACATCATATTTTGTATGGGTTTCCTAAGTGTTTAATTGGGAGAGAAAGAAATATGTGGGTTTTTAGTTCGCCATTGAAGATGAGAAGATTGAGTGGTATTTAAGTGTAGGCATTCTCAAGCCTTATGTTCTTAGAACAAACATGAGAGTGATGGTGCATGTGTGGAGCACAGATAGCATAACTCGTACACGTGAGCGCTTGATGACGTACTTTACACTTCGTACACTTGCATTGGCAGATGGTGACAACACTTAAGATTAAGGGTGGTACATGTAATAGGCGAATATTGGTGGTGCATGAAACCACTTCAGCAGTAAATTCGCAACCTCTTGGAGCTCTATATTGTGGATCTTCTCCCCATTTTAGAGATACATGGTTAGGTGCCTCACTCTTGCCCTCCAAGTTGGGATGATCTGGTAGCGTGGCTCTGGATTCGCGTCGAGTCTGGGACAGGAGATCGCTCTCTTGAGAACCACGTGAAGAAGACACGGGCATAAATATTAACCGATGAGAGAGGAATTTGGTCGTAAGGTGGGACTTACCTCATGTGGGTTTGTGAAATGCTCAGGCTACTCGTGTGGTTGCCCTCTTAAATCACAAGGAATGCCCCATGGCCTAATGCCAATTCGGAATCGCCTCTCTAGACCTGTTTCTTCTTTCTTTCTGTTTGAGGTCATTTGCCATCACTTGTATCCCCGATACGAATAAAGAGAGCAGTTCGCGACCTAGGCTCGCAGGTGTCAAAATGCCTATGGACTATGGAAGCCATAAGACAATAAGCATTGATCTGAAGTGAAAACTCCAACAGTCTCAGAATGGTCAGAGAACGTTCAAGAAAGTGGCTAAAGGTCTCTTAAGAACACCTGCCAAGTTTTGTTGCAATCTGATAAGTTTAAGGCAGTGCAGACGACAAGACAGTTTCAGGAAATCCTGCATCTATCATGCTGAAAATGTTCTATGAACTATAACACAATTATCAGAGCATCAAATGGTCTTCAGACCATCGCCATTGGATTCAAAATGGTCGAAAACCCTTGGGTACCAATTTTCGACGTATTTGGACACTTTTAGAGCAAGTTATGACCAACTTACCCAAAATAGGTAGGCCGTACACTATTACGGCGTACCTTCAACCAACCAGTTTCCATTAATAGAAACTGTGCATCACCAATTCGGGGGCAAACTTTGCACGGTCATATCTTCTTCATCCCCATTCAGATCGAGTCCAAATTTTGAGAACACATTCGTCCCGTCGACCCGATCGATTTGATATGTGACACGCATAGTGACATGGCCCGATCCAGAAGAAATCAAAGAGAGAAGTTTGCC